GTGGGGAGTTCAATCAAATAAATATCAACTCTGGCTGGAGTACCGTTAACTTAGTGAAAGACACTTTGAGGTCTGTTCAAATCCTGATGGTTTACCAGAGCGCAGATGTTGTCCTGAACTGCATTTTGTAAACTGGCACTTTCCAGTATAACATGCTGAGGGATGTAAAGATGGGGGCAGCTGCCACAGTGGCGCAGTAAGGAAAGGCCTGTCAGCTGTCGTGAACTGAGAGATCGGAAACTGGTTAGAAACCCTTGGCTGCGTGACACTGTATATTGTACAAATCAAATCTATCAATTTAAATTACACTGAGGAAGCTCTGAGTAGGATGAGGTATGAAAAAATGTTGCATTCTATCGCATTTGCTGTAGTTATTTAAAAATATATGTTCGTAGGATGTCTTGGCCAGCATTTATTGCCCAACCTTAACTCCAAGTGCAATTAAGAATCAGCTATGTTGCCGTGGGTCAGGAGTCACATGTAGGCCAGAGGAGAATGACAGATTTCCTTTATTAAAAGGATATAAGTGAACCTAATGTTTTCTTTTTAAATGACAATCAATGGTTATATGGTTGCTATCAGACTAGCCTTTTTATCACCCAAGGTATGTTTTATTGAATTCAAATTACACCAACTTCCTTGGTGAGAATTTAAACCTATGGTCCCCAAAACATCAGCCTGCCATTTTGGATTATTAGTCATGTGACATCTCCATTAGACCACTGCTTCCCCCAATCAGATTTTAAAAGGCTGTAGAATTTTTCTTTTTGTTCACAAATTTTATGTGTAAAATACATAATGTTCGGAGGAAAATAAAGCAAAAGACAGACCTAGGCAGCACCCATATGACGTGCATCAGTGACCTAGGATTGTCCTTACATCTGATTTCACACAGGAGCATTGGCAGAGGCCCGGTCAGTCAGAAGTTGCTGCATGGTGTCAGGGGAGGGGGACATTCACATAAAGACTTGATAGATAAACACAATAAACTTCTGTAGAATTGGTTTGGTGAAACTGCGGACATGAAAATCAACAATTTGGGTTTGCTTACTTCCACTTGAGACAGCAGCAGTGGCCCTGGATTAGTGTCTTGTTGTTTAAACAAGACTATCCGTGACAGTGCAGCACTTCGTCATTGCACCCCGGCCTGAATTCCATCCTTTTCTAATCTCAACTGGATAGCAGTCAAGAAAAAGAATACTATGTTTTCAAGTTGATTGACAACTCATAGTAACACCCCCATCCCATTCCCACTGCCCTCCTCACCGACCCCAACTCTTTTTCTTCCGGACTCTCAGCTTTCAAAGGCAGGAGACTTCCTTCCAATCAATCTTGGCTAGCTGTTAACTGTGGTAACATAGGTTAACAGCTAATTCAACCAATCCTCTGTGCACTGCACTCATTTCATTTTACAAGCATGTAATATTTATGATATTAGATATATAATTGGTAATGCATTTTTGAGACCCTCGATCATACTCTAAAAGGCCACTAACGGAATTTGATGTCCCCCAATGAATTATAATGGCAAGAAATATAGTGTAAATTGACATACACTGTTATAATTCCCAGCCTTTGACAGTGCAACGTTGCTCTCATGCCTTTGACTAATTCTGTTGAAAAGTACATTTTCTTAATTTTGAAGTTACACTGTCATTTTAGTGGCAACGTTCTGAAGTATTCTTACTTGCCTGAAATTACACCTTCATTTTTGTGCTATTATTCCTAGTTCTGCATTTGCCAAAACAAAATTTTGCATGGAAGGGTTTCAAATCTAGCAGATTGAGACAATTTTTATTTTCACAACTTCACTATCATCTTCCCTGCTGTGATACATTGGAGGAGCCTAGTAATGAACTGGAAGCGTTCTGTTTACTAAAGAAATCAATTGGAAGACCATGTATTTAAAGAAAAGACAGACTTGTATTTGATAGCAGTGTTCTGACTTCAACATATTGCAGTGCACTTTACAATGAAAGTAAACAAGGGAAGGAAGCTATTTCTTCAGTGTGTGAAGTATCTTGGTTATCACTCTCCATTATAGAGAGACAATTGGTTATATAGCTTGAGGCAGATCTTCTGAAATGAAGTCAGTTTTAAATGAAGGAAATATGGCAACCAATTTTCACTCAGACAATCTGTTTCAGTGATTGCTTTACACCTTGGAGATACGCAAAGATAATACTGTGTGTGTGAGTGTGTGTTTGTGTGTGTGTATAACAGGAGTTATAATCTATACTTTAAAATGACTGCTCTCATACTTATGGTAGTTGCTAAGTTAGAAAAATAAACTAAAATGACCATACCTAAGCCTAACTGTAAATAACAGGATTGGCCCCATAGGAGATTACGTTTGCTTGCCAAACTAGCTATTAAGTTCTTCCCATGAAAAAAAATTAGTTGTGTGGTGGGCAAAGGTATCATGGAGCACAACCGCAAGGTATTAATTTTTTTTAATGTTTGGCATTTCATTTCACAAGAAGCCATAGGCATCTCTCATTTTCTCAAGAGTTCTGTACCACAATGTCATTTCTCTCTCTATTTAGGTTCTGATGCTTCCTGTCTAACCAGTCCTTTTGAGATCTGGCCTATTCTTTCCCGATATTTTAACTTATATTGCTGCCAATGGCAGACCCTCAACCCTCCTATTCCAATGGTCATATTTCTCAATTTCCATTTTTAACCTCAGCCTTAAAGCCCAGGAAATGTTGGGATTCTTATTATCTGGCAAACAAATTAATTAGTTCATGACTCTATGCGTTTAGCTGCAAGGACCCTTGACCAGAGCCACATTTCAAAAGCTATGTGGCACCAGCTCTTTACTTTGGCACCACCATCATGGCATACCAAGGTGACCTCTTCCTTGGAGATACCCAGTGAATCCCTCCTGCAACTGCACACCTCCACCAGTAGATGGAGGTTCACAAACTCCTGGAGTTGTAGATGCCCACACTTCCTCTTCCTTAAAGCACTGAGGGAAACTCGCTCTCTGCAAGCCACATCATTTGGGGAGAAAACAATGTCATTAAACAAGAAGAACATTTCCATGCGGTGGATATCTGAGGTAAGGACAGGAGGTATTGACAATACATGGCAGATGGATCAACATCTATAAAAATGAAACACAAGGCAATGGCCCAAGAATTGATAGAAAATTATTGACAAGTTCATGGTGTTCATGATTATTCCACAACTTAGAGCAAGGGAGTGACATTGTGAATCACCACGAGTTGCTGGTTAGTTTGTGGTACTCCATGATTAACCTCACAAAAACCAGATAAGGGAGAAGGAATCAAGGGTTATACTGGTGAAATTAGAAGAGGAAAGATAAGAGGCTTGAGTGAAGCATAGAGACTGATATGAACTAGTGGGCTCATTGGTCTGTTTCTGTGCTGTCCATGTATTATAATCCCATGTAAAACAGAGCTCATCATCACCCACCATGTGTATTTCAATAAATTGCTGCATCTGTCTAATAAGTAAAAATGAATTCCACCACAGCCATTTAGGGCTTGTATTTCACAGTACAAGGGTCCAGGCAATTCCATGATTTATGGTCCTGAATGTCTTGAAAGCTTGGAGACCCAGAAAGGGAACAACCATAACTATGAATTTGTAATCTTGCATTATTAAAACAATACTGAAATTATTTTTGTATTTTGTCACCTCTGCCTTGTGTAATTCATCCTATACCTTTCTTTTTGTGCCCAATTTTAATCAGACTTATTTTATTTCCTTTTCTGCCATTTCCTTTGTTGCGTTTTCTATTTTTAAATTGACGAGTCTAGGATTCGAGAGCATAACCAAAAAATTAGAACCAGACATTGGAACTAGGAAGCAATTCTTCAAAGACTGGCAGAATTTTAGAACTGTAATCTATAATATGGCAATTGATGCTAGATCAGTTGCCAAATTTAAAATTGAAGCAGAGATTGACAAACAGACTAAGAGACAGGGATGAAAGTGGGCATATGGAGCTTAGTCACAGAACAGCCATGGTCTCATTGAATGTTGAAATGAGCTCAGGGGGCTATAGACTTCCTTCTGTTCCTCAATTAAATTAAGGAGGTATTGGACCAGACATTCAGAAGGTCATACTTCCCACATTCCCCTCATTGTGTCACCATCAGCTCATACTTCCAGCAACTTTTGGCATAAAAGTAATAGTTACTGAAGGGTAAGGAGAAATATTCAATCGTGGTGCTCTCAAGAGATGAGCCTGATCAAACTCTCGGCCATTATTTTGGCAGTGTCATTTTTTCAGTGTTCAGTTTGATGAGGGTTACACACTGCAACAACTTATATATCTGTAGCTCATTTGAGGTAATAAAAAATAAAAAAAACTCAGGCTGCTTCACAAGGACATTATAAGGGGGAAAATGAGCACCATAGGAAGGATGACTGAACACCTAGAGACTTGTTCACACTTTCTGGATTCTGGCCCGCTCAAAGGTGGTGTCTTAAGGGTTGTAGAATGGAGGTGTGTCAGTGGGGTTAGTATATCGTCAGTCTGGTCTAATTGAACGGTGGAACAGGCTCCAGGAGCTGAATGGCCTCCATATGTTCCTAAGAAGAAAAGGTCAACTTCCGAGCTCACAAAAAGCTGTTGGTCACACCTCCAGGCAGATGGGACACGAACCTAGACATTCTGGCCCAGGGGTCGAGATATCAAAAGAGCCCCTAAGTTGAATTATTAGCATAAGATCAACAAGGGCCGTTTTGCTAGTTGGGCTTCGACGATTTCTTTTTTTAAAAAAAATCTCAAGTCCGTGTGCGTGAGGGAGCCGTGTGTGTGTATGAGGGACAGAGATCCTGATTTAATGTGTTATGTTTTTGAGAGAACATCATCCGTTGTAACGTGTGGCTGTGCACACGTGTGGGCATAGGAAAGCGGATCCCGTTTTAAGCAACTTCTGTGACTCGCCTCGCTAGTGATCCCGCCTCTTTTAAAACCCCTCCAAACAGGAAATGAGACGTGAATGGCAAGGGGTGGCAGCAGAGGGGCAGTTCTGTGGGATGGTGCCGCTGTGTCCGGGTAATCGGCGAGGAGTGAAGATGAGCTGCTGCTGCAGGGAGCAGCTGTGAAGGAAGCTCTCACCCCGCTCGCTGGGGCAGCTCCTGGTGTTTGCCCTGATGGTGCGTTCGGTGAGCCAGAAGCTTGGCACAACAGGGCTGGTCGACGAGTGGCAACAGCACAGGTAAGGAGTAAGATCCAGCTCGTTTCCTCTCTCTCCGTCTGTCGCTCCTTTTGTTTGTAGGGATCAGACATTCTTACAGCTGAGCCACATTTACTCAGCACCACTCAATAGCAGCAATTCTTCCTTGTTCAAACCTCATATGCTTGATAAAGTCTTTGTTTCGTTTTGTGCTGAATAATCCAACATTGTAGGATCAGCAGATTCACTATTTTTAACAAGGATTGTCACCTATTGTTCTAGGCAGTGACGGTAGATTGTGCATTTTGTCCTGCCTTACAACAGTTGATTTAATATTAGTGTGGACAAAGGACATTTGTTTTCCTGGGTTAAATTAGCAACCTTATTATTTTGCAGTTTCTGTACGGTTTTGGTGTGTTTTCACATTGAGCTCTCTCAAGGTCCCTGGACGTTGCATTGTTTAATTGGGACCATTTTTGTAAAACCTGCTGCTGTTATCAAAGCGATGAGAGACAACGTTTCCCCCCGTCTCAACAGGGGATCAGTTAAGGACCTTCCCCTTTAAATTATATATAAACTTTCCCCCTGACTTTTGTTTTTGCCTGAAATGAATCTGAAGGTTACAGTCAGTATTTTTTTTGTGTGTGAGACTACATTGCACTTACAATCTAATGGAGAACAGTCTTTGGGTAGTGGGCGGCAGTTTGTTCTCACAAAGAGATCTCCTCTCCACTTGTATAGAAATAATCGTGTGTTCTGGGATGTCCTCACTATGTCCTCTCAGTTAAAGAGAACTGACAAGGCTGTATTAGATCTGTGTAGCGTGAATCCTGTGCAAAGCCTGGATTTTATCTGCACGCCCACAGTTACTGGAGAACCATCCCTCAGCGATCTATTCACATTATAACGTGGTGATTCAGGCCCCTTTAAATCAGCAATGGTAGGGGAATTACATGCGTGACTATAGTTGACCTATATTTTCTTTTCTTTTTCTTATAAAAGGGATTTAAGAAAACGTGTACCTGCCTCTGCACGGACCACTTTACTTTGAGTGATGCCAAAATGTGTGATTTCAGTTGGACGATGAATTAGCTGACATGTTCGAATTGAACATTATGGGTTGGAAGGCATTGCTCAAAAGAAAATTAATTGATGAGAAATTTTCAAAAAATAAACTTAAACAATGTTGCTAAACCATTGGATGTATTTATTCAGGTTTGTCTATGTACAAGTTGAGCCAGTCGTATTTACTACTGACTTTATTCAAACATACTCATCTGCTCAAAGAGGCAAGCAGGCAATAAATGTCTTTTTTAAAATAAATTTGCACTAAGTATGTGTCTATAATTAAATACAGGAATTTACTGTTCAAATGCAACGTGTTCCTGGTGTATTGGACGTGGTAGCTTTAAATCCAACATTAGCGTGAGGGAATAATATGAACTGTGAAAAAGTTAGTCATTTTGTGGATTGCTGTAGCATTTTAATCACTGTGGCCTTAAGTTTGCTTTAAATTAACTTCAGAAATTCCATGTGTTTTTTTTAAAAAGCTCTGCTCCCATTGCTTATACTTCATTGGGATTTTGTTTGAGATTATTGTCAACAGTTGTCATATGTGTGTCGATGAATAGGAGCAAAATGTTAACAAGGTCTTTTAAAAGATGGGCATTCCTTATTTTGCCAATTCCCAAGGTAAACAGAGCCAAGAATAAAATAGACAAATTAGTGATCTCCAATCATGTCTAGTGTTTAGCCAAATTTAGCCTACAGATGAAAATGGATCAACATAATTAGGGGTAATTTGTATTTTCAAAAAAAAGAAATGAGAGAATGCTCAGTTTCCTTTGTAAGAAATGCATTGCTAATGAAAAGGAAGGAACACGTGGTTTGTAACCATGCGGTAGCTGTCCATGTGCTTTCCTGAGTTGTTAATTATGGGAAACAGAACAGGCAATAGCTTGCTTGTCATTAAAGGAGCAATCATACCCACCCACTTTATGATAACATCTAAATGATGTACAAGAATGCAGCTCAATGTTCAACTATGTCCTTTTTCCAAATGCAGTGAATAGATTGAAAATTAGGATATCATAGAATTTCTGCAAGCCATGACAATTTCACTTCAACCCAAGGAGTATGCAGAAATGAGTGTTCCTTTATTGTTCCTGTAAGAGTTTAAAATAACTAACATACAAAGACAGAAATACCAAGACTCAATGTATGGCCATTTTTAAATTTTTTTTAAATTATATTAAAGATTGATCAGTTTATCTTTCAATGTTATCTTTATTGAGAAGACTGCATATTATCACAAGACTAATGTAATGCATTTATAACAGAGAAGTGAGGTCAACCCATTGAGTAAGGAATCTATCAATAGAATGAAATAATACTTGTATTACTATTGTGTACTTAATGAACACAGGAGTGTCCAAAGTACTTCAAATGAGATATTTTTAATGTGTTGCTACTGTCACAATTTAGCATACATGACAACCAATTTGCATGTAGCCAGGTCTGATAAACAGCAATGTGATCATGAATAAATAATTTGTTTTACTGCTTTTTTGCTGTTGATTGAGCAATAAATTTTGGCCAGGGGACTGGAGTAATTTTCCTACCCTTTTTTCAAAACAGTGTGGTTGGATCCTTTACATTCACCTGAGAGGGTGGAAGGAACCTTAGTTTAAAATCTCACTTGAAAGTCAGCATTGCTGACAGTGCAGCAACTCCTTGGTGATGATGTGCAAGCCTTGATTTTTGTGCTAAGTCCTAACACGTGAGCCACAGCTGAGATGCTGGAGGTAGGAGATTCTTATAGAAGAATAGAATACGGTGTGGAAGCAGGCCTTTCAACCCATCAAGTCCACACTGACCCTCCAAAGAGCATCCTACCCAGACCCCCCCAGCTCTGCGTTTCCCACAGCTTATCAACCTATCCTGCCCACTATGGGCAATTTAGCATGGCCAAACCACCTAACCTGCACATCTTTGGGCTGTGGGAGGAAAAGAGAACACCTGGAGAAAACCCATGCAGATACAAAGAGAATGTACAAACTTCACACAGATAGTCATCCAAGGGTAGAGTTGAACCTGGGTCCCTGGTGCTGTGAAGCAGCAGTGCTAACCACTGAGCCATCCAAATATGGAGCATAAATATTGGACTGGGTTAGTTAGGCTGAATGGCCTGTTTCTGTGCTGGAGATAATGTTAGTAGGTGCAATATGAAAGCTGGAGGAATAATTTCTCCATTGCTAAAGTGTATCTCTCTAGTTTGAGTGAGCACTAATTCAGTTTAAAACTGTAGTTAAAATGTCATTATTGATTTGCAGGTGTGAAATACTCAAACTCATCTCTCTCCCAAGTGTGATCTGATGAATCAGAATGGCTACAGAAGTGAGCAATATTCAGAGGAGTTACTCCATTATTCCATGCTTCATATTTGTAGAGGTAAGGGGGGGATGTGATACCATGCATACAGGATTCTTTTTAAATGTTTGGCTGTCTCTTTCATGTTCTGCTTCAGAACAGCTGGAAACGCATGACTCACTACAAGTGTGAGTCAGGCAAATGCGAATTGGGAAATGCAAGCAGAAAATGCTAGAAGTACTCAGCAGGTCAGGAAGTAGCTTGAAGGGAGAAACAGAGTTAACCTTTTAGATTGTTGTATTGTCAGAATGGCTGACAGGGACTTGGCAAGGGACAATATTTCCAATGACCGAGTAGGCTAGAAGATGGGACATGGTTTCAGAATAAGGAATCTGCCATTTTGGACTCAGGAGTGGAGAAATTTCTTCAGTCGAATGTTCGTGAAACTTTGGCGTTTTCCTCACCAGAACACTCTGGAGCTCTATCATTGAATATATGCAAGAAAGAGTGCATTAGATGTTTGGGTACCAGAGGAGTTAAAGGGATAGTGGGGAATGGGTAGGAAGCTGATGTACATGTGGAAGATCAGACATGATGGTGGATAGGATGTGGAGCAGGCTCGAATGGCCTACTTCAGCTCTTATTTCTCATGTCCTTGTGTCTCTCAATGCATCCTGACCTGTCAAGCATCAGCCATAGATTTGTTTTTATATCAGTGAATTGAGGAAAATGGGAGGAGTTTTAAGAGAAAAATTGCAAGCACCTAATAATTGAAAGCTTCTGCTGTGATGTGGATAGAAATGCACGTGCAGGACACATGTAATAAAGTCATAATTGGCTCAGGGGTGTTTGCAGATCCATTGAAGCCTGCAGCTTATCTAGTGTCGTCTAGAGATGGAAGTATATTTTACTGGAATATACTTTAAAGAAACTATTCGAAAGCGTCTAACCCACGTAATGCCGAAAAGGTGTCTAGAATGCAGCAGGATCTAATTATGAGTGTACAATGTATTTTAGCATTGTTTTATCACATTGTTGGATTTCGTTTTTATTCTTGCACAAGGGAATTTGTGTCAAAGGGAGCGATTATACATCATGGTCAAGATAAAACTATTCAAGGAGGAAGCTGAAAGAGATCTAGGTGTGTTAGATGATTCATGATGTAATCACTAACAAAACAAATTAAACACCGTGCTGTAAGCCCACTCATGGTAAAGCAACATGATTTGCACATGGGACAAATTATATGGACCTGTGGCTGTAATTTATGTTGTTGATCTGTTGAAGGCAGGAGAGATCCTCTGTTGGATGACTCAAGATGTAATGAGGCTCTGGTCAAGCAAAAGAAGGATATGTCAGATATAGACAACTGGGATCCAGTGAATCCCTTGAGGTGTAGGTGTACACTTAAGAGGGGAAAAAAGGGGATTATGAGTTAGCTCTGGCAGATAAGGTTAAGGAGAATCCAAAGGGATTCTACAAGTATATTAAGGGCAAAAGAGTAACGAGGGAGAGAATAGGGCCCCTGAAAGATCAACGAGGCTGTCTGTGTGTAGAACCACAGGAGATGGGTAAGATCCAAAACTAATATTTCAAATCAGTGTTTACTGTTGAGAAGCTAGGGAACTCAGGGAAAGAAATAGTGATGTCTTGGAAAGAGTCCACATTACAGAAGGGAAGATGCTCGAGGTCTTAAAACACATAAAGGTAGATAAATCCCTGGGACCTGATCAAGTGTACCCCAGGACATTGTGGGAAGCTAGGGCAGAAATTGCAGGGCCCCTAGCAGAGATATTTGTATCATTGACAGTCATGGGTGAGGTGCCAGAAGACGGGAGGCTGGCTAATGTGGTGCCATTATTTAAAAAAGACTGTGAGGAGAACTACAGACTGGTGAGCCTAACGTCAGTGGTGGGGAAGTTGTTGGAGGGGATTCTAAGAGACAGGATCTACATGCATTTAAAAAAAGCAAGGAGTGATTTTGGATAGTCAGCATGGCTTTGTGGATGAGAAATGTTGACTCAAACTTGATTGAGTTTTTTGAAGAGGTGACCAAGAAGTTAGATGAACGCACAGTGGCAGACATCGTCTACATTGACTTTAGCAAGGCCTTTAACAAGGTTTCACACATTAGACTGGTAAGTAAGTTTAAATCACATGGGATTCAGGGAGAGCCAGCCAATTTGGTAATAAATTGGCTTGATGGTTGGAGACAAAGGGTGATGGTAGAGAGGTGTGGCCAGACTGGAGGCTTGCGACCAGCAGTGTGCCATGAGGATATGTACTATGCCCACTGTTGTTCATCATTAATATAAACAGTTTGGATGATAATATAGTAGACATGGTTAGTAAGTTTGCAGATGACACCAAAATTGGTGGTATAGCGGATAATGAGGAAGGTTTTCTAAGGTTACAACGAGATCTTGATCAACTGCACCAGTGGGCCGAGGAGTGGCAGATGGAGTTTAGTTTAGATAAGTGCATTTTGGTAAGACTGACAAGGACAGGATTTACACAGTTAATGGTAGGGCCCTGGGGAGTGTGTTCAAACAGAGAGACCTAAAGGTACAGGTACATAGTTCCTTTAAAGTGGTTTCACAAATAGACACAGTGTTGAAGGTGGCATTTGGTATGCTTGTCTTCATTGGTCACAGCATTGAGGACAGGAGTTGGGACAACCTGTTACGGCTGTAGAAAACAGTGGTAAGGCCACATTTGGAATACTGCATACAATTCTGGTCACCTCGCTATGTATCAAGGTAGATACTGGCTGACTGGCTAAGGCTGTGAGGAATCACTCAATCATTAACTAATTTGAGCTAACGTGAATTTATGAGAACGGGTAGGCAAAATCCGTATCCACTTGTGTATTAAGGGGCGATCTAATTGCAGTGCTTGAGATGCTTCATGTAATTGATATTGCATTCTTTACTTTAGGACATTCAGAGCTAAGAGTGCAGAAAGTATAAAAGAGGATAGATACAGGAAACAATTTGAAATAGGGAGATAATTAACACATTGAATATCAACTGACTGAAAATCTGGATGAACTTGTAAATGATAAAATTGTTTAAAGTGAAAAACAGCCTGATTGATGGTGTGGAAGATTGGCAGCAACGGCAGTGACACCAGTGTAAATCTTGTTACCAGTAGAATCATTGCCAGCATAACTTTTCAAATGGTAAATCAGGAAGTGAGAAGGGAGGACAACTCCTCAGTTGTTTGTGTCTGGAAAGGAAAATGGGGGTTAATTCTGAGAAGTACCATAAGCACCACCCACTGAGAGATGTCACATGTACTTGTGGACAGAACTGATTAGGATCCCAGAGGAGTAAGAACTTATCTCCAGAGCTTCTCCAAAGTCTCCCTAATAAATGTTTATCCTATCAATGTATCCCATAACTAGTTGCTAACATGCAATAAACAACTTCTATTTAGACGAAATGACATTCCACGATCATGCTGCACCAAGTGTGCCCTGTTAGTTCCCACACTAATGGTGGATGGTACCAATAAACTGACCCCAAGGTAAGGCGCAGACTCCCTTTAGTTAGACATACCATAGCAGTGATTCTCTATCTTGCTTCTTTTCCTTTCTCCCTTCACCAAAAGAAACATTGAATTGCCCCTCCCACCAACATCACATGGCCTGCTCCTCTGTGTATCAGGAACTCTATGGGAGATCTAGACCAGAGATCTGCTGTGCAGGCAGTAGTGCATTTGTTCAGAAGAAATGTACAATGGACTAGACATTGACGTTTGAATTTTGAGCTAGTTCAAATCCAGTTTCCTTGCTCATCTGGTTGCAAAGGTTCCATCTCACCTTGATTTGAGCAGACCCAACCCAATTTTCAGCATAGACAAAATTTTCATGAAATTGTATGCAGCCTTTGGTACTTGTGCTGGCTATCCAGCTCGTTCCACTTACTGAGTCTTGCTGTAACACTCCAAGTTAATTCTTTTTCAAGTATTTCTTCCGTTATCTTTTGGATCATTTTATTAAATCTGTTTTGTCATCTTTTCAGGCAGTGCACTCCAGGTTTCAAGAACGCACTGTGTGAAATAAAATTACTTTCATCTCCCACCTGTCCTTTGATCACCAGTAGAAAGTTCTTCTTTCTTACTCTTATGAATTGAAACTCCTCCATTAATTGTTTCACTCAATTTTTCTCCTTTAGGAGGAACAATCCCAGTTCCTCAAGTTTGACAACACAGCTAAAGTCCCCATCCATCTGGAGCCTATCCTATACCATGGTACCCAGAATTGTACATGGTACTCCAGCTGATTAAGTAGAATTAGGTAAACTGCGTAACATTACAAATGTGCTTTGGACATGGCAATGTTAATTGTTTATTGGACAGTTGTACAGACTTTGTCAGTTAACACTTCTACTGATGTGCTTTGTAAGAATGGGGCACAATGCGTTCCTTGTGGGGTATGCCTTCCATTAGCACCAAGACTGCGAGTTTGGAAAATCTACATCATAATCAGATTTGGTGCTGTTTTTGTTTAAAAAATTCTGGTTCATCAATACTCATAAGAACGGGAGTTGACTATTCAGTCTCTCAATTAAAATCAACAAATCTAATTGTTGCCTAATAAAATTTCAATGCTTGCTAAACTTGTGGCAATCAAGTCAGCATACAGCATACTAAATGCAGGATGCATTGCAACAACTTCTTCAACAGCAGCTTGGAAACCCACAAACTGTCCCACCTGAAAGGACAATGGCACCATATGCAAGTTCCATTGCAAGAAACAAACCATTGTACTCATTGCCATTCCTTCATCATTGCTGGGTCAAAACCCTGGAACTTCTTTCCAGACAACACTGTGGGTGTAGTTGCACCAGACGAATTGCAGCAGTTCAACTATGGCATCTCACCACAAACATCTCCAGGGCAAGTAGGTTATGGCAACAGATTCTGGCTTTGACAGCAATGCACATATCCCATGAAGATATTTTTGGAAATTGTTGCATGGTACAAAAGATAAGGAAAGGAGTGGGTGAATCTTGTAACATGATGAAATGGAATTGAGGGTAGAACTAAGTGAACTATAGTGCACTGAATAGTGGTAG